AGCGTGGAAACAACTTCCTGCCCGCCTGCCAGAACGTCACCGCCCAGGCCAACATCATGGACCTGTACAACGTCAACATCAACTTCGACAAGATCTCCCAGCGCGTCAAGAACTGCACCTACAAGGCCTACGCCGCCGCCCGTTACTTCGGCTGGCAGTACAGCTCCGAGAACTTCGTCAACCCCAAGAACTCCCACAACAACAAGGTCGAGCTTGAGCTCCGCTTCGCCCCCAACATGAAGTCCGCCAACCTGTCCATCGACGCTCCCGCCATGAGCGCCGAGTTCAACAACGTCCGCCTGAACCACTGGGTTGCCCGTGCCGCCGCTGTCCACCCCATGTACAGCCAGAGCCAGCTCCTCGTCTCCAAGGCCCTGAAGGGTGGCTACCGTGAGTATTCGTTACGACTATCCAGTCTCTTTCATTGACACAATTTTCTACAACGTTTTATTTTCTCTTTCTGCCCGCAGCCATGTGCGTTGTTGACAAGACCGCCGCCAACACCTTCGACAACAAGACCTACCCCCTGAACCTCGGCAACAACTGGCACGTCATGATGCAGTCCGTCCCCAAGGTCAACGCCGACTCCAGCTCCAGCTCCTCCAGCCAGGAGGACGCTACCGACAAGGTCGCCGTCCTGGTCCGTGACGCCAGCAGCTCCCACGACCAGAAGGAGCTGAAGGTCATCCTCGACGAGAACGTCATTGACTTCACCCCCGCCTCTGGCTACTCCAACATCAAGTACAACGGCCACTCCGTGTCCTTCTCCTCCAACACCGGCGCCCAGATCCAGGACCAGTCTGGCGACATCCTGGCCCAGGTCTTCCCCATGCCCGCCAACACCATCAAGGTCTACTTCCCCCAGCAGAAGCTGGAGATCCTGTACGACGGTAACCGTATCGCCCTGATCGTCGGCCAGACCTACCGTGGTGAGGTCCGCGGTCTCTGCGGTACTTTCAACGGCGAGGAGGTCAGCGACTTCACCGCCCCCCGCAACTGCGTCCTCAAGAACGCTCAGCAGTTCGCCGCCTCCTGGGCCATCAACCCCTCCGGTGCCGTCAAGGAGCAGCAGCAGAAGGCCAACCATGCCGCCTGCTTCCCCGAGCGCATCCTGTACGGTGACGTTATCAGCGACAACGAGGCCGGCCGCTACCAGCCCCGCCACAGCCGCAGCTCCAGCAAGTCCCACAAGTCCAGCAGCTCCTCCCGCAAGTCCTCCCCCAAGACCGCCGCCGGCTGCACCAGCCACCGCGTCAAGGTCATCGAGCAGGACGGCCAGATCTGCTTCTCTCTGCGCCCCCAGCCCGCCTGCAACGCCCACTGCCAGCCCACCCAGAAGGTCGAGAAGAAGATCGACTTCCACTGCGTGTCTGACAGCTCCGCTTCCCGTCACTGGGCCCAGATGATCAAGAAGGGTGCCAACCCCGACTTCAGCCAGAAGGGCGCCAACAAGTCCCTCAAGGTCAACATCCCTGAGAGCTGCCGCGCTTGAGTAGATTTACATTATGTGATGTGTTTAAATAAAAAGTAAAACACAGCAAAATTCGTCACTTTGTCTCAATATTACTCTTATTCGCCATAGCCATAACCAGCAAATCTATAACAATACTCATGACGAACTTCCAACTAGAAGAAAGCTTTCTAACACAATAAAGTAAAATCTTTAACTTCATGAATATTTTGAGATACACGGAATTAAGCGGAATGAGGTCGCAAACGGCAGTTCAACGCACATCGACATTTGTAAGAGTCGCACAGGATATAGCACGGACTCTTTCCTACCCCTTCCGGTAGTGAAAACTATTTGGTGTAACTGCTCATAATATTTCTCCACTTCAAATTATAGACGCGGAGCATAAAAATTAATTAATGTGCTCCATACGCCTCACGAGAGGTTCTGATCCGAACGAGGTTCACACTCACACCCCCCGTGGTAATCGCGATGTAATCCAAGCTTTTCGAAAGTTGAATAATGGTGGGGTGGGGGCGGGTG